TAAAGAATTGGGAATAAGACGCTATTGCAACACAAACACTGTGGCCAGCCGACCGCGGCCCGAGAAAGAGAGTAATGTAGGCCGACTATTGTGAAGGTAGGCTGGCTCCTTTACCCGCCTCCTCTCGGTATTGAATGAGCATATACGCTTTAGGCATCATTGATCCAGCTTGGCCTGTACACTGGTCCCATCACACCACCACCGCTCACTACCATCACGCTCCACACGCTCACCACCCCACGCTCACTACCACCACGCTTACACCACCACGCTACCACCACCACGCTCACTACCACCACGCTTACCACCACCACGCTCACCACCACCACGCTCACACCACCACGCTTACACCACCACGCTTCACCACCACCACCTCACTACCACCACGCTCCACCACCACGCTTACCACCATTACGCTCGTACATCACCACGCTCACACACCACGCTCACCACCACCACGCTACTACCACCACGCTCACTACACCACGCTCACTACCACCACGCTCACCACCACCACGCTTACCACCATTCGCTCGCTACTACCACGCTCACTACCACCACGTTACCACCACACGCTCACCACCACCACGCTCACTACCACCACGCTTACCACCACCCGCTCACCACCACCACGCTACACCTCCATCGCTACCACCACCACGCTTACCACATTACGCTCGCTACTACCACGCTCACCACCACCACGCTCACTACCACCACGCTCACCACCACCACGCTTACCACCATTACGCTCGCTACTACCACGCTCACCACCACCACGCTCACTACCACCACGCTCACCACCACCACGCTTACACCATTACGCTCGCTACTACCACGCTCACCACCACCACGCTCACTACCACCACGCTCACCACCACCACGCTCACTACCACCACGCTCCCACCACCACGCTTACCACCATTACGCTCGCTACTACCACGCTCACCACCACCACGCTCACTACAACGCTCACCACCACGCTACACCATCCTCCCTACCACGCTCACCACCAACGCTCACTACCACCACGCTCACCACCACCACGCTCACTACCACCACGCTCACCACCACCCAAACGCTACAACTACCACCACGCTCACCACCCCCGCACCCCCCCCACCCCGTTACCACCATTATGCTCGCTACTACCCGCTCACCACCACCAGCTCACTACACCACGCTTACCACCACGCTACCACCACGCTCACTACTACCACGCTCACCACCACCACGCTCACTACCATCACGCTCACTACCACCACGCTCACTACCACCACGCTTAACCACATGCTTACCACCACGCTCACTACCATCACGCTCACTACCACCACGCTCACTACCACCACGCTCACTACCATCACGCTCACTACCACCACGCTCACTACCACCACGCTCACTACCATCACGCTCACTACCACCACGCTCACTACCACCACGCTCACTACCACCACGCTCACTACCATCACGCTCACTACCACCACGCTCACTACCACCACGCTTACCACCACGCTTACCACCACGCTCACTACCACACGCTCACTACCACCACGCTCACTACCACCACGCTCATCTACCACCACGCTCACCACCACCACGCTTACCACCATTACGCTCGCTACTACCACGCTCACCACCACCACGCTCACCACCACCACGCTCACTACCACTCGCTTCCACCACGCTCCACACTACCACGCTCACCACCACCACGTTCACCACCATCACGCTCACTACCACCACGCTCACTACTACCACGCTCACCACCACCACGTCACCACCATCACGCTCACTACCACCACGCTCACTACTACCACGCTCACCACCACCACGCTCACCACCATCACGCTCACTACACCACGCTCACTACTACCACGCTCACCACCACCACGCTCACCACCATCACGCTCACTACCACCACGCTCACTACTACCACGCTCACCACACCACGCTTACCACCATACGCTCGCTACTACCACGCTCACCACCACCACGACTCACCACCACCACGCTCACTACCACCACGCTCACTACTACCACGCTCACCACCACCACGCTCACCACCACCACGCTCACCACCATCACGCTCACCACCACCACGCTCACCACCCACGCTCACTACACCACGCTTACCACCACGCTTACACCACGCTTACCCATTCACGCTCACTACCACCCACCGCTCACTACTACACGCTCCCACCAATCACGCTCACCACCACCACGCTCACCACACCACGCTCACTACCACCACGCTTACCACCACGCTTACCACCACGCTATCACATCACCACGCTTACCACCATTACGTTTCACTACTGCCACGCTCACCACCACGCTCACTACCACGCTCACCACCACCAGCTCACCACCACCACGCTCACTTCACCACGCTTACCACCACGTTACCACCACCACGCTCACTTCCACCACGCTTACCACCACCCGCATTACCACCACCACGCTCACTTCCACCACGCTTTACCACCACGCTTACATCCACCACGCTCACTTCACCACGCTTACCACCATTACGCTCACTACTACCACGCTCCACCACCACCACGCTCACTACTACCAAGCTCACCACACACACCACTGTCATCTCAACACACAAGACAACATCACCACTGTCATCTCAACACACAAGACAACATCACACTGTCATCTCAACACACAAGACAACATCACCACTGTCATCTCAACACACAAGACAACATCACCACTGTCATCTCAACACACAAGACAACATCACCACTGTCATCTCAACACACAAGACAACATCACCACTGTCATCTCAACACACAAGACAACA